CTATGAGCGGATTGCCTATAGACGTAGACTTAGCATGGACAAGTATAATGAAATATGGGACTCATTTATATAAAAGAGTCACTTCACAGTGAGATGGGTGGTGACAAATTTGAAAAATAAATAAATAAATAAATAAATAAATAAATAAATTACAGTAGGTTAAAAATGATAGTCATATAAATGTATTAGAAATAGATATATACTTGAATAATATTTGCATTAGATAAGTATATATAGAATTGTAACTGTTCACTGTTATGACATATACTACGTTTTTTTCCTTTGTACTTCTGTCACTTTTTTGTAAGACATTTTTTATGTTTTTTTTTCCCTTTCACGATGAACATATCTCCATCATTATTATCACTGTGTTTTGCTCTTTTTCTTTTGTTATTAATTAAAAAGCAATAAAAAAAAATTGAAAAAGTGTTTGGGTTTACAGGATCTCTCCGTTGAGGCAGCAGCCAATTTCAGGTTGATCATTCAACCTGCTTTAGAAGAGAGAGACAGACAGACAGACATGGGTGCAGAAACTGGGTTTAGGGTCTCCTTTGCAACCGAATCTGGAATGCGAAAGAGGCACAGAGTCCAACAACCCCATCAGAGGAGGTGGTCCCACAGTGGACCTGTTGGATGACTTGGAGCCAAGGAGATTGCTGACCCTGTGGCATCATCTCAAGTGGCGTCTTCCATGTGCCCTCCTTTCTCTACATAGAACCTCATGTCCTGGTTTAATATGGAAAGCATCACTTCTACACAGGAATGCTTAAGCCATCTTCTAGCTGCCTTAGCAGTGGGTTGATGATGAGGTAGATGTAGCCCCTCCTCAGCAAATGGGAACTGAGATCTCTTTGCCGCCATAGAAGGAAGCTGTAGGAATTGGGTCTCCCTCATAACTAAGCCAAGGGCTATCCACCAGTCCATAAATGGCCGAAAACCATGCTGGTATTAAATTTGCCCCCACTATTGCTAATCCATCTGTCACAGTAATGAGATCAGTGACCGGTGCTGCCCTTAACCATTCAATCTGGGACAAATTACGGGGAGCAGCTGATAGTTTCCTCTGCCTTAGTTCCTTCCCACCAAACATCACCTGCCCATGGGAAAACAATGCAGAGTGATAAAAGCCCACACGGATGACATCGTCTGATACCCTTTTAGAAAGCACTGGAGCATTTTTCTCGGTAACTTCGTAGAGCTACAAGGCTCCTAGGTTCCTTTCTTGCTGTTTTTTGTCTTTATGAAAAGCCAGGAGTTTTTCTGGGAAGAAAACCCGAAGAACTTGTTTGTAGACAGTATTACGCTGAGCACAAACAGCCTTTTGATCTTCTTCACTTACTGGGCGGTCAGAGAAACTGGGTGGACAATTTTGCTGAATTTTTGCAGGGGAGGGAAAAGGTTTCCCACAATTGCTCAGGGGCAAGACACTGCCTTGACAGAGGAATGGCAACAGGGAGATATTCGATCTTCCCTTGGAAGTGAATGAAAATCTGGGAAGCCAAAAGCTGGAAAAAAAGAGGGCTGTATAATGAATTATCATTCACATTCACCCCCACACATACTCACCTTGATCTCTGCATAATGAAAAAAAAGAAAGCAAACCCTTCACTCCACCCAGGACAATTTCTCTGAAATTCTCTTCTTTAAAATAATCTTTAAAAGCACATTTTCTTTCATCAAACTGAATGAGGACTGCTGGAGAGTTTAGACGGTGGTGGAAATGTTTAGGGCTCGGGCCCAGGGTGGCTAATAGATGCCGTGAATATTAAACTAAATAGGCAATCCATATAATCCAAATTAAAGGATGAGGTTAGAACATTCTCTTTCAAAGCCAAACCTTGTAGAAAAACCTTTAAAATAATTAATTTCTATCTTCAATTAGAATGTGAACACACACGCACAAATGTATATGCACGTATTAATCTTCCATTTAGTTTTCCCCCACAAGCTGGATGGTCAAGATGATTTTTGTTGAAAAATTGTTTGCATATTGATGATACTCTACATTAATAGAAGGCAGCCCAATTAACACGCACAAAGACTGATTTGCAGAAAAGCAGAAACAATTCAGAGAAACATCCAAACTTCTTAAGGGAGTGGACTCTGATCCATACAACCCTGTGCCAAAATAAACTAGTTAATCGTTTAAGTGCAACAAGAGTCTTTGTCATTTTTTGCTGCAAAGGATGAACATGGCTACCCCTCTCAATACAAGGGAGCGACACCCCTAAAGAGGAAAAGCCACACAGGTCGCCGTCAATCAGCAACCAACAAACTCCTCTCCAAGAGAACGAGCTACGCCTTGCAAGCTCATGCTGGGCATTTCAGTTAAAAAAAGGACCGCAGACTTACACATTTGTTCATGATGCCGTCTTGTCCAGCAAGGAGGTGCTACTTAACCCCAGTCTCAGCTCTGTGACTTAGGAGAAGTTCCAGTTGTCCTTTAAATAGCTCAGGAAAGGGCATCACGTGACAAGAAGAATGAATGAAGGGTAGGGTGCATAACCAGAAATGGAAGCAGGAGATGAATAGGGAAGCTGAGGATGATGAACTCAAGCAGCTGGTGCGCCCGCTTCTAAGGGTATGAGTTTTTTGAGGGGGTGGGGCAGTGAATATTAACAGTCCCTTGGCTGGCATTCATTAAAAGATTTCTTCATTGTTCCCTGGACTAGATTTTGGATGCCAACAGAAATGGTTGTTCTTACTGTTGGTTTTGATACCGGAGCAGGATAATCCGGGGAGGCGGGTGGCATATACATTTAAATAATAATAATAATAATTTATTTAATAATAATTTATTATTATTATTATTGGTGGAGTTAGCCTTCATTCACATTGAGTTCTTCCCAAGAACCTAGAATGCTGTAATATATCAGCGTTGTATATGTGCAGATCCAAGCAATGTGGCCTTTTGCAATTGACAACTGGAAATTGTGTCCGTGTGCAGATGTTCTAAGGGTTGTCCAAGGTTTTTTTGGAATGGCACCCAGTGTGCCGAT